ATAACAAGAAAAAGCCCACTTCCCAAATGGCCACCTCTACTTCAACTAATATTCCGTAGGAAAAACTTTCGCAACACTTTCAAAAGTAAAGAAATTAACAGGAAAACTTCACACTAATGCAGAGTTCAAAGCCTAGCTGCCTAATGCGTAACTGTTACAACTTTCAGGAACCTGGTGGGAAAAAAGTTTTGCAGAAGAAAATTACTTTTGGTGAAAACCACTCCATAGTTTTGTAACTCTACCAAAACTTTGAGTTAAAGGCCCATTCGAGTCTTGAAAGAATAACCAAGAAGTCTAAAACAAATAATAAAAGCACTCTACAATCACTCAAGTGAGAAAAACCAAATTTTCCTTCAGTAATTTCTACTGGAAAAATAGCCAAGTGATTAGCGGGTGAGAAATGTAGTTGATTTCCCTTAAGGATTTTTTATTAGTAAATTTAGGATCCTTAAGGATTTTATAGAATTCTTTTGATAGGGAATTATTGCTAGTGGAAAAGGTTCTTTAGGAATTTTTACTAATTATGGGATTTTTAGAATTCCTAAGAATTCATGTTCCAAAAAATTTACTGATGATCTTATTATAAAAGAAATTTTATATTACATTATAGTTATGATTTTTTTCCTTTTTAATTAATTAACCAATCAAATTTAAGAAAATTCTAAAATAAGATTTCATATAAAAGTAAAATTTCTACTGGTAATGACAATTTAATAGAATTAGATAATTTAATAATAAATTATTTAACTCCATTTTATAATAAGTTTATAAAATCTTATATTAATATTGTACTAAAATAAGAAGGATATTATTTAATAAGAATATTAACTGGTGAATATTTAATATGTTATAATTATATATTTATATCTGGAATGGTCTGTTTAATAATATTTGTAAGCATAATTATGCAATAAAAATTTATTAATAATTATAAACAAATAATTTATTATTTCAATAAATAAAAGCCAATTTAATAAATTATTTTAAAAATAAATATAGAGTACTTCCAACAAAAAAGAAAAATAAATTAATTTATAATAATAATATAAAAACAGTATTTGGAAATGCCTGTAGCAAAAGGAAATGTGATAATTCCGTAATTTTTAAAAAATCGCAATTTAAATCATGTAATAAATTTGGCAAATCATCACTTAATTGTGAAATAAATTGACTTTTAGACCTTTTTTTTTTATCTAAAATTAAATTTTACAGGCAATTTATTAAGAGTATTGATTTTCTTTTAATAAGTTTATGTTGTTTATTAATTGGAGTTTGCTATTTATCACCGGCGGTGATCATCATCGGTGTCACGTGATTTTATAAATTTGGCCGGAATTAAGGAATTGACATATAAATTTCCTTTTATGGAGTTTGAGTAACGCTACACAATCCAAAAAAGGCAATTTTGTTTCTCATCAAAAATGAGAAAATGCGTTGCACGAGATTCCAAAAAAGGAAATTTTTATGTAGATCACCTAATTCCGGCCAAAATTTTAAAAATCACGTGACACCGGTGATGATCACCGCCGGTGATTCGTAGCAATTTTATTATTAATTTTATAAAAGTAAAATGCAAATAATAAGAAAATTTTAAAATTAAATTTTTTTTACTAATATATTATTAATAAAAAATCATATTTTTTTAAAAATTAGACCAATAAATATATAATTATAATAAAATCTCAAATTTGAATTTTTTGGCCTATCTCCCCCTTTAGTCTTATTATATAGAACCGTCTCACAAAAAGATCTGATCAGATACGAATAAAGTATAGCTTCCCAATAGGATTTTTTCTTTAATAACAATAATAGATTGGTTACTAAAAGTGTCTCCATTTAAAGAGATTGTAAAAATATTTGAAATTCAAAGTAAATTACTTTTTAATTATTTTTTAATAGTAAAATTACTAATTCTTTACTATTGTAAAAAGATGGAGCAATTTTTTAAGCTAATAAAATATAATTGAATATTAATAATGATCCTTTTCATTTAATCATACCAAATAATTATAAAATAATAAACTTTGAAAAATTACCTAAACTTAAAATAAAGTTACAAAAACCTTTAAAAATTTTTCAAGCATCTCAACAAAATTTATTTTATGAAATAAAACTACAATTTTTTTTGTACAGTATTAAGATCCCACTTATTATTAAAATAAGTCATCCTATAGCTTAAGGTAAGATTTAAATACAAAAATGCAAATTAACCATATACTTTAAATTATAGGTGAATTTGAATAAGATCACTGATACAGAATTTAATTTGCATAAATTTTATACATATTGCTTAAATTATTTTGGGATGCCATAATTTATTCAGTTTATGTATAATTTATTATATATATAAAGTACCAAAATAATTTGGGATTTCATAATTGAATTTGAAATTTTATTTATAATTATGGCAGCCCAAAATAATTTGGATAACATGTATAATAAATTTACTGGTATCTGAAATGATATTTTACATTTATTTTAAATAGGAAAATTCTATTTTGATATTATTTACATCTATTAAGTACTAAAATAGGTAATTTTTTTTCTTTTTAGTTAATTAACCAATAGAATTTAAGTAAATTCTAAGATAAGATTTTATATGAAGATAAAATTTCTATCAGTAATATATTTTAGTAGTAGGTAAAGTTTTATAATATTGATACTTAAAAGAAAATTTTGTGTTTTTTCATTTTTATAAAAAAAAAAATATTTTTTTGAATAAATATCAGTATATCGCATTACAAATATTACAAATATCACACTTAAATATCATATGTTTGGGTTAAAATTAATACAAAAAAAGAGATACATCAACTTGCATATATGACGTGAATTAAGATTTATATATTTGTATTAAGATGAGGTACATTATATATGCTATAGGTGCAAAAATTACCTTTTTGATCCTCTTAGTATTACTTTCTTGATTCAGTTAAAATATACAGATTATATATGATAAACATTCTTTGACTTAAAACACAATAACTAATACTGTGATAAACAAAAAAGAATATTTAATAAAAATAATAATAACTTGTTATTACCAAATTATAATAAATATATTTAGCATATATTCATATGTAAAAATTTGTATACATAATTATCACAGTAAAATATAAATAAAATGGCATCAAAAAAATAATTATTTTAAGTTTTACAATATAATTATGATAATGTTTTGGTATAAAGTATTAAAATAAAATTTTTTAAAAAATAAATACCATATTATTTTTTCATTAAATATTACAAATCTATTTATTAATATTAATGTTTTGCAAAAAATTCTTTGTATCTGCACTCTGGTAAAACAAAATAACAATGTGTTAATGTTTTTAATTTCAGTTAAAAAAAGAATATGTTTGTCATACATAATCATGCATATTTTAACCAGATCAAGGGGCCCGTTAAAGCGGGTAGAATCACGTGATTTAAAATTATTATGATTTGATAAATTTTTTATAAACTAAAATTAAAGTAAACTTGAAAATCATTAAATAAGTGTATTTCGGCCTGCTCCACAAGTTTACTTAGGGAGAAAAAGTTGATTTTGAACAATGTTTTTGACTTTACATATGAGCAAACGAATTTTGCCGATCATACCCAAAAAAGGATAGATCAATTTTAACGAAATTGAAAAAGTTGAATAAATCGAAAACGGTGTTCTAAACCTCATTTTGTGCTCTAAGTAAACTTGCAGAACAGGTCAAAATGCATTTAGTATATGTTTATTTGAAAGGTTTTATATATAATAAAGAGTTTTATTTAAAAAAAAGAAAAATTTTGAAAGTCACGTGATTCTACCCTACTTTAACGGTCCCCCAGATCAAGAAAGTAATATCAAAAAAGGTAATTTTTGTACTACAGATAAGATATACTGGATGATGCCAATTAAAAAATTGATGGACAAATGGGCACCAGCATCAGTACTTGGCATAGGCATTTGCAAAACGCTAGTACGAATAGCCGGAGTTAACGTTATTTACCCCAGTAACGCCATAAAAAATTTCCACTCTACGTGAATTTTGGCCAACATTATAGCCCTGTTCATTTCCGGTCAGTCGTATTTTTCGGTCAGATTTAAGTTAATTTTGATTGGGCTGATCAGTTTATACGACGCAACCATTTTCTGAACTTTTTAGCCCAATTTTTTTTGGGGGTTTTTTGGTTGAACGCCAAAAAATAACCAACCAAAATTAGATAATTTCTGTTCACGTGACATTTAAGAAAAAAATATATATCAAATATAAGGAGTTCGAACTAAATTTCAATCTAAAGCAGTTCAATTTGCGATCGAAAATAAAAAAATTTTATTTGATAATTTTTGTACAACAAAATCCGACCGAAAAATGCAACCGACCGGAAATGAACAGGGCTTATATGTCTCGTCTGGCATTAAGCATGTGACAAATAAGGCGTGAAGGTGTGACGCCGGTGACAAATTTTTAGGTCACGTGAGGTGGAAGAATTTTGTGGCGATACCTAGGGGTTAGATAAATATACGGGGGGACAACTCATAGGTTACACAGGCTGATCAATAAAAACCCGAACTGTCGCCACTATAAATTGGTTACACAAATGAATTTTCATATTAAATCGCGCAAAAATTTTACTTTTTTTTGATTTTTTCGATGCGTATAGATAGAGAAGCAGCCGATCTTAAAAGTTAAGGTTGTATATGTTAGCTCTATGTAAGTGTAGTTTTTTTATCAAAATTGAACCACTGGTTGCTTCGTTCTTAATTTTATATGTATTTGTTACTTTTATATTAGAAAGCTAGAATTATACTTTTTTTTTTTTAGAGATTCCAATAAAAAGTTATAAAATATTTTTGCTTAAAACATTTAAAAATAGTGCTTTCTTCTTTTATTATGTATTATTTTCAAGTGTGTAATAATTTTTCATATAGTTTTGAGGTATTTCAAATAGCCGATCCTATTTTTTGAAAAATACAGAAAATAAACTAACGAAAAAAAATACGTAACGATAAACTTGAGCATTTCGTCATTTCCGAAAAATAGTTTTTATTTTGTGATGGGTTGATTATCGGCAGATCTTTCACTTTAAACATGGGGTATCGTTACATTTTACTAGTAACACATAGTAATTTACATATGGTGACAGTTCTAGCGATCACTAATCAGCCTGTGTAACCTATGAGTTGTCCCCCCCGTATATTTATCTAACCCCTAGGCGATACTGAAGATAGTTAACGTTAGCTCTATCACGTGCCATAATTCCGTAAAAATGGCATAGTTTTTGTCGAGAAAGTTGATTGGAATGAAAATTCTCTCTTAATTTTCAAAAATATTTATCACCAAAATGCTCAAACGTAAAATAACCTCTACTTTTAACAATAATAAAAAACAAAAAGCAACCACTTTAACACAAAGTTCTCTTTCTTCTTGGGTCAACCCTCAGCCACAAACCCTTAGTACTATTAATTCAGAAACCTTATTCAATAAAATAGGAAATGAAAATAAAGAATTGTTGAGCTTGGAAATTAAGACTATGAATAGCGAGTGGCTGAAAGTTTTAAGCGGCGAAATGCAGAAACCCTACTTTATAGAGGTAGACTAAAAGCGCGTTTATGAAACATTTACATATATTACGCGATGTTGACGCGTTTTGAGTTTTTTTTTTAGCTAAAGAAATACCTTCAGAATGAGAAAGCTAATAATAAGAAAATTTTTCCACCTGGTATAATAATTGTATTTAGGATTTGGTCAATGTCTGATTGGTTCTACGTCAGTGGCAAAATTAGTTAACCAAGTTAATTATTAATCATACATTATTTTATAACAAATTTACGTATTTACCTATTATAATAGAACCGGAAATATATAGCTGGTCAAGATTTACCCCACCATCTTCAGTCAAAGTTGTCATTATAGGACAAGATCCTTATCACAATGTCGGTCAGGCTCATGGCTTGTGTTTTAGTGTTCCACATGGCGTCCCACCACCACCATCGTTGATCAATATATATAACTCCTTGAAAAAGGATATTCCGTCATTTCAGATTCCGAAACACGGTAATCTTATCAATTGGGCCAAGGCTGGAGTCCTCCTTTTAAATACCTCTCTCACTGTACGAGCCCATGAGGCAGCAAGTCATAGTGGAAAAGGATGGGAGAAATTTACTGATGCTGTGATACAATATTTAAACGAGAAAGAGAATGGATTAGTTTTCATGTTATGGGGAAATCATGCTATTAAAAAAGGAAAAAATATTAACGAGGTAATAATTTTTTTATTGTCAAGGATTGTTATATGCATTTAAAGCTAAACTTCTTTCGTATATTTAAGAACAAACATCTCGTTCTGCAAACAGTCCATCCGTCACCATTGTCTGCCCATCGTGGATTTTTGGTGTGTTGTCATTGGTCTAAAGCCAATGCATACTTGAAATCTCACGGCAAACAAGAAATAGAATGGAATTGTTTGTCAGCAGCTGATTAACGAGTCACTTAAGTTTGCAGAAATACTTTATTACTTTAAATATTCTCTGATATGGAAACTAGTTGCATTTTCTCTTTTTTTCTTGTAAATATATACGTAATAAATATAATAAAATGACGAGTTTAATAAAATACTAAATTGATGCTCTCCGCATCTGCTGGTTGGATGGGGGTGCTGATATAGAAATGTTTATGTATAGTAAAATTTTATTTCCTAAGAAAGCTGCTGCTTCCAGTGAGGATAAAAAAAAATAAAAAAAAAAAAAATAATATACTAAATTGGAAAATCATTCATTAATGTTACACAAAAACGTAGCTGACGCAGTGACGCGTCTTTATTACAGGAAAACCACGACATTTTTTTTAAATAATTTATTTTTAGTTGGGATTAGTTAATTGGTCCCTAATGTCAAAGCGCGGTAGTCCTTCAGAAATTTCCTCAACATCACGTTCAAAAAAGGTTAAGCAAATGCTAGGAAGCTGTTTAGGCGAGACATTGGACAATTTCAGGTGTGTTTTTGTCTTTAATACAGAAAAATTTTTTTTTTTTGCTTATATTAACGTGCAAATTATAAAGTTATGAAAAAGTTGCACAATGCTATCCGACATTAGCTAAGGAACAACCCGAACGACTCCAACAAGCTCTCAGTCAAGTTAAAGAATTTTTGAAAACAAATACTGAGGTTGGAAATTGCGTCAATTTTTATTACTATTTTAATTCATATTGATTAAACTTTTAAATAAAAGGAAGAATTTGAAGCCATTTTGGAACAGCGGAATATACTGGAGAAACTTGATGAACTTGATGATATAATTGCAAAGGCTAAAAAGTGTCAAAAGGATGGGCACAGTCCGATTCAACCTATGTAGTAAAGTAAAAATTCTATTATGATCAACGAAAAAAGATATACCATAATAATTGATATTGTAATATTAGGATTAATGTTGATCCAAAAACAATCATACGCGCTAAAACATTACCGATTAAATTCGAAGAAAAGAAAAATTTAGAACGCGAATTTTTAAAGGTAAATTTTGAACATGCGCTAAAAAATTAATTCTGCAAAACTTGTTGACTTCATGATTTTAACAGATCAACCAAGAAAATGAATCTTTAATGTCAGAAGTTAGAATCAAGAAAAAACAGATAGATTGTTTGTCCCAATCGATTCAAGAAATAATAACCGAAAATGATAAGGTATAACAAATTCACGGTATAACAAATTCACTAATTTTATATTTTCCCAGTACTATGAATAATTCCAAATTACTTTATTAAGGTGGTGGAAGTTGCTACGGAAATTCCAGTTAATGAAATGCAAAACATAATTGACAATGTAATAAAAATATAAATAACAAAAATAAACACGTGATCATTGTGCACAAAACACAGAATATTACTATCTTTAGTAAAATAGCATTACGAAAGGCTTTCTTTTTCCCTAAATTCATTTGAATTATTTTGTCAAGGAAACTTTTTTCAAATAAAAATAAAATGATCATCAAGGAATATAGAGTAATAAATAACTGCACGCGCGACGAGTATCAAGTATGTTGTGCCTATTAAACTCTTATCTTTTTTTCTTTACAACAAGAAATTTTCATTTTCAGTATTATAATTTTCAGGTGGGTCAATTGTATGCTGTTGCAGAAGCTTCAAAAGCAGAAACTGGTGGAGGGGAAGGTGTGGAAGTACTTAAGAATGAACCATATGAAAATGCTGAGGGCAAAGGACAATACACGTATAAGATATATCACCTTTCTAGGTATGTGTTTTACATGTACAAACCTTTTTAAGAATTTTATATTAATTTATTTCTTTATGCTTAGTAAAGTACCTGCCATTATTCGTGCGATAGCACCGAGTGGAGCACTTGAATTATACGAAGAGGCATGGAATGCTTATCCTCATTGTAAGACTGTTTTAACTGTAGGTATTTAATATTAACATCTATAAATTATTAAATCTGAATTAATAATTTTTAACATTTGATAGAATGGATACATGAAGGATAATTTTAAATTAGTTACAGAGACGATGCATGTTGACAACAGTCGTGGTGAAATTGATAACGCTTTGAACATTTCGCAAGATTTACTTGAAAAACGTGAAGTTGTGATCATTGATATTGCAAATGATCCTATCGAGCCGAAAGACTATAAAAAAGATCAAGATCCAACTTTATATCATTCCGAGAAAACGGGTCGAGGTCCATTGAAAGACGATTGGATTAAAAAAGCTACACCTACCATGACTTGTTATAAACTAGTCACTGTCGAATTTAAATGGTTTGGCCTTCAAAATAAAATTGAAAGTTTCATTCAAAATGTTATGCGATCGCTATTCACAAATTTTCACAGACAACTTTTCTGTTGGACTGACAAATGGTACGGTATGACCATGGATGATATTCGAGCATATGAAGATAAAACAAAATATGATCTTGATGAGGTATTTCTTCAAATTCGGTTTATCATTTTTTGTCAAAAATTCGAATATTTTATTGTAATTCGATTTTTTTTTAGTCTCGTGCAAAGGCTCCACCTCAGGAAGAAACATAAGGATAAAACAAAAATCTCACGAATTTAATACAAATAATAGAAAATATTGAATTTGGTTTACTGCATTATGCCTTTAAGATATAACAATTATTGCAATAAATTATTTAAATTTACAATGGTTGCTAATTTATTCCAAAAGTATACTAATTGCCATGGCAATACAGGCCAATGAGACATATGGACTCAACCGCTCTCCTAATAGTAAAAAGCATATTGAGTAAAAAGAAATTTGATTAAATTTCATTGAAAAGACATCTACCAATTCTTGCAGCCTTCCAAAATAAACCCAGTATTCTAAAATTATATAAAGCGTTTTAACAATTTTTTTATTAAAAAAAAACCTAAAAATTAATTTAAGAATAATACCCAGTCTTATTTCTATCGAGAAGAGTAGGCGCTTGAGCTTTAACAAAAGTACAGGTACAAATGGCTAATAAAATCACAAGTAGCAAACTTTGGAAATTAAATAATGCCGACTAGAAAAGAAATGAGCGATTAACGAACCTATAATATGTAAAAACTATTTCAAAAACTTTATTGCCATACCATTTTTTTTTTGTTTAGAAAAAAAGTGAGTTTATTTATGTAATTTTACTTAAATATGATTCCTAATTAAAAAATCACGAATCACGTGACAATAAAACTATACTATGAATTTTTGACGTCTAACTATTGATCGTAAATTAAAAAATGCAAACTTATAACATTCTGTAATATTATGAAGCCCGTAATCTCATGCAAATTTAATAAATATATTAGTTAACAAAAATAGTGTGAATTTTTTCAAAATCAGACGGATTCTTAAGTTTTATATTATGTGAAAGAGGATGACTTGAAACAGTATTACTACTTAAAACAGGTAAACGAATTCGTCCTACAATTGAAGGTTTTATCACATTGCCATCATTCTGTAGTACAATATAATCAGTTATTAATAAAAAATTTATTATTTATAGTATAATTATAAAAAAAAAAAAGACAAACCTTTAAAGGCTTATGTAAATTGTTTTTTCCAAGTTGTCGAAGCTTTAATTTTAATTCGTTGCTTCGTTGTTGTAAAGTATACATGACCGATTGTTGTACCTGATACTGATATTCTGAAGTCTTCTTTAAAGGTCTCCATTGTTTTTGATTTTCTAACGTTTTGGTAAGATCAATAATTCGAGGTGACGCACTTACAGTTCGGAAATCCTGAAGATAATAATTTCAGAATCAGTTGTACTTGAAGTAAATAGACAAATATAAATACAATGCAGTACCTTGAGTAATGATTTAGCTTCTGAGGCCACCGATTTCAACAACTCTCCTTCACTTTGATCTCGAAGAGCTCGACGTCGTCTAGGTTGCAAATGCCAATCTAACGCGTTTAATGCATCTTTGCCTTTCAAATGAGAATTTTCTGCTCTAAGATAACGAATAGCGAATTTCAAAGATTCGATCTAAAAGTTTATGCTAATTAGTATAAATTAAATTAATGAATTATGAAAAATAAAACTATTTAAATACCTGACTAGCCAATCTTTGATTTTCTAATGGATTAGCATCTGCATACATTCTTAAATCGTCTTCATTGTCTTCGTCCTTTAATTCAGTATTACGAGAAGGAACAGCTAAAGAAAAAATTAAGACTCTTATTATTTTTAAATTATAATAAATTACATATATATGAAACTACAAATACCTCCGTCTTCAATATTTCCAGCAAGTAATATAAAATTTTTATTTTGTTGCTCCAAAGAATCAATTTCTTGTTGAAGATTTTCCATAGCTTCTTCAAAGTCTGTCTCCTGTTTTCTTGAATTTTGAAGTTCTTGTTCCAAGGCAGTAATCATATCGGCCTGTAAAGTAAAAAGAAAAAAGTTGGCATACAGATAACCCCCGTTCTTATTCAAAACCAAGTTAAACTGAATAGCACTCAGGTACTTTGATACTACAGCACTGTTAACTAATATTTTAGCCCCGACTGCCAATTTGCAGTATCTGAACTGTATGCTACAATTACCTGTTTCTTTACGTTTTCCATACGTTTCTCTAATAGCTCTATTTTGACATTAGCTTCTTGCAAGAGTTGATCCTAATAAAATTAGAAGTTATTAGTTAGAACAGAAAATTTATTATTGTATTAGTTCTTACTTTTAATTTCTTCTCTTTGATTAATTCACGTATCTCCTCCTGTTGCTGTTGAGCTTTACGTTCCATTTCGGCATTGACAAGCGCTTCGGCTTTTATTTCTTTTGCTCTGATATTCCAAGGAGCTTCTCCCTTTACAACTACATTCAACCATAATTTTTATTATTTAATCTAATTATATACCGAATATTAAAATTCTTATCAACATACCATAAGTAGTATTTTCTGGGTCATTAATTGCATTATTTAAATTACTAATTTCTTGACATATCGAAAGCAGCGACTTAGTGCATCCGTCCCACATATTTAATTCATTGGTTCCTAACATATTCTCGGTAACTTGATGAATAGTTTTTTGTAAGCCACTAAGTAACAATTCCTCTTTTGTATCTTTCTTCTCATTAATATATGCGAAGATGCCCTTTCGAACCTACAGATAAAAATGCTTAAAACCATATTCCTATCGAAATGTCAGAATAATGATTTAACCAACCTCCTGACAGAAAGTAGTCAACTTTGTACTTAATGTAAAACAAATCTTGAATTGTGTAAGAAGATCGGATTTTAATCCTGCATTTTGATCCGCCATGTCATCCAGTCTACGGATTAATTTTCTATAAAAAATAACAGTCAGACTAATTATTTCCTCCCTTGAATTTAAATATAATCAAGCTTTTTACCTTGCCATAACTTTACTACTTCTAGATTGCGAAACTAAACTCTGAAGCGGTAAGAAGAAATCGGAATTAAATTTATCGATTTCTTCGGTTACGTTAATTTCTATAGAATTAATTAAATAATATGAGAAAAATATAATAATTACAAACAAACGAAACATAAACTTACCTTCGTCTTTACAAGCAAGGGCAACAGCTTGTTTAAGATGACCAAGAGAAACCGCAATGGTATCTGCATTCAAGTCTAAACCTCTACTATAAGCATATAATTTATCTGCCTCGTCAATTTTAGTGTTGGAAAGGTATATTTCTGCAAGGTGCTCAAGTTGGGCGATGGATCTTTACGAAAAATAATGTCAACAGTAAAATTTTAAAATAAATAAATAAAACGAAAAAAAAAACTCCCCGGACCTTTGAATATCTTCAATACAATCAGCTTCTTTGAGGTCTTCTTTTCTCAAAAGATCGACTATTCCATTAAGTCTAACAAATTATAATAACCATTATTAATTAATAGGAATGACATTTTATTTTAATTTATCCATAGTTCAAAAATAATTACCGACGCTCCGTTCCGACTAAATCATGATAAACTTGACCCATTTTAAGGAAAGTATCAACAGGGCAAGCATTAACGAATGAAACAAGACGTTTAGCTATATCGGAAAACCAGGCAAGTTTTTGTCGGAACTATTATTATAAATCCAGACGTAAATATGACTGATCATAATTAAATTATTAAAGAGAGAAGTAACTTACTTCGCAAACAGCAATTAATTCTTCGGGAACCGTTGTATTTAATTTTTCTGGAATATTATGAATTTGGTCGACTTGCTTGATAATTAATTCAGATTTGAAAACAAGACGTTTTAACAGAAGCAAGCAACGAATAGAATCATGCTCCGAGCGAAAGTAAGAGTCTGGCAAGTACGGCTTTAATAATAAAAATAAATAATAAGTAAAACAAAGCAAGAACGATTAGCCAATAACAAAATCACTCTCGTATACCTGTACAAATGCCAAATTCTCTGATGCTTGAGTTGCGTCCAATTTTCGAAGTTCTAAATCAATCTGTTTTGCTTGAGCTTTCAGAACTCTAGATTGCAACTTGATATTTAGATCAAGCATAGATTGTGATTGACTACTGAGGTTCTTTGATTCCGAGTATTGACTTTCTTCTTTTTGTCGGAATTGTTCTAGATCACTATTATAAGGGAAATTAATTAAAATAACGTGTATAAAAAAGAACGTCTTTATCAAATAGTACCTTTGTAAATTAGCAACCAATTCACGGAATTGATGTATTGTATTTTCATAATCTGCATTAGTCTCATCCGACATCTCAAGACGTTTCAGATATTCACGAATAAGAATATCTTTATGATCTGCGAAATATAAATTGAAAATAATAATAGTTGAAAAAGTTACTTAAAAAACAATCTTTATATAAAATGAATCATTTACCGATTTCAGCTTGAAGCTGTTTCTCGTTCTCAATATGATTTTCTTCAAGCTCGTCATTTAACTCTTTTAAAGCTTCAAGATCTTCAATTGCAATTCTCATCTCTTCAAGTCTCTAAATGGTTTTTTAAACGTTAACTATAAAAATTTTATTTCTATTACATAACATGATTTAATTACCTCCCCTTGCGCTAAATTTTTTTCCGTAAGTTGCTCAAGCATATCTTCAGCATTCATAGCATCGTCAAGTCGATTCTTTAAATCTTCTATTGCACTTTCGGATAATTTTAATTGATTTTTCATTTGATCATGTTGAACTATAAGAAAATAATATAAATTATAAAAGTGAAAATTTGATAACAAAAAATCCAATTATTTCGAGGTTAAAAAAATAAAATAAAACAAAATAAATAAAACAAATAAAATAACCTTGGATATCTTGAAGAGAAACTAGTTCTTTTTCTAAATTCTTGATTTTTTTGGCAAGCTCAGCTTCTTGTTCACTCGATACATCTCGAAGTCTATATGTAAAATACCAATTAGCAACTAAACCATAAATTAATTTATCGTTTTATATATAGTAATACCTCACAAGAGCCTCCTTTAGCCGTTCATTATGCTTTTCTAATTGAATAATTTCTACTGCGGGCCTTGCCTCACCATTTATCATGTCTGATGAGTTAGTTAAAAATTAGTAAATTACATAATAGTAATTATTGGAGAATAAAAGGACTTACCGCCTTCTTGTTTAAAAACGTTTAGATCTACGCTAATTTCCTCTACTTTTTCTTTCAATAAATTTACTTCATGTTGTAAATTTTCGGCCTTTTCTTCGGCCATTTCTTTATCGAGAGTCATCATTTCCATAGATTCAACAGCTTCATTGTATTTGCTTTCAAACATTTCTTTCTCCATATTAACCTCTTTCAATTGTTTTCGAAGTTCTTTTAATTCCTGCTGCATATCGCCCATTTTGGCTAATAATAAATAAATATTTCATGTGTCAATGACTAGATAAATAACATTAGCGTATAATATTAATAAAAGGATTACCTTGAAGCTTTGGTTTTATACTTAAAAATTGCTCCGCTTCAACTCTCGACTTTTCAGTTTCCCTAATTTTTTCCCTATCTTCTTGGCGTTTATTTTCTAATATCTTAAGTTTTAATCTTAACTCTTCATATTCTTTTAGAGGTACGGTCTAAATTACATAATTAATCAATAAATACGATTTATTTGTCCTATTATATTACAGAAACAACTAGAATATCATACTTGTTCACGGGCAGCTGATGTTTCCTGTAAAGAAAAAGGATTTGCCGTAGAAATCATGTCATGTCTCGTTATATCACTTCTAGGAGTTTCATACTTTTGTATTTCTGATTTTTGTGCAGGAGTAGTTGACTCATTCAATATATCATGTTCTAAAGGTTCTTCATAAATTTCATCATTCATTTCAACTTCATCTTCTATCTCAGTAGATGAAAATCCTAACTCAGTATCGTTTCTCTTAATATCAATGCCACTTGCATCAGAGTTTCTAGAAAACGTAGGACTATTTAATCCACGAGAACTAAATCTTCCCATTGTTGGTGAATTTGGTCCTTTTCGATTATGGTTTGGTATACCTGAAGTGTTTATTCGCATATTCCCTACAATTGAGGGCGGACGAAGAATTGAGCGTCCATTACTAATATTTGGGTCATTTGGTGGAGCAAAGCTCGGAACCTGGAAATGTAAAAAGTATTATAATTAGTTAAAGCTCTAAAAGATTTCAATCAATGGAAGTATTTTATTTAATTAATAAAAAAAACACTCGAGTTTTATTTAATTATATAATTCTTTAAAAGGGGTGCTTACTTGACTTTGTGGTGAATTAACAGCACTATTTAAAAATTTTATCTGTGAAGCTCTAACAAAAACTCCGTGATTTGGCTTACAATCAAAATAATGTTTGCCCTTAACCGAGCCGTTGTTTTTACCCGAGGCTTCATCCAGCTCCACACCAACCCATTTTCCTGTAGCAAATTCAGTAGGTCCAACAAACCGAATTGTTCCCATCTTTCCTTGTATCTCACATCTTGCATCTACTGTTAATTCTGTTGCTGTTGCCATTTTAGGTTAGCAATAGACAACTTCTCAAAAATGAATAATACCCAATAGATAAATTTTCCTTCAAAATAGATAATACTCAATAGACAATTTTTCCTAGAAAATTTTCCTTCAAAAATGATTAATATCCCAATAGAATAGCTTCAAAAACGTCCAATAGAAGGAAATTTATCTTTCAATATGTTCAACAGATCCTTCGAAAAATAGTCAATAGAAGGAAATTAAAATCAAAAAAAATTAGTCTCCTTTTTTTTATATAGAAACATGGACGTCACATGTCAAAGAATTTTCATAAGATTAACACGTTAAAAAATTGAAGTTTGTACTAGGTTACGCCAACTATGTTTCTTTAGTGTATATGGCGCAAATCAACTGGAATAGTACTGGGAAATATCAATTGAACCGACTGTTATCTTGGCAACCCAAATTTGATTTTACAGAGGATCATACCCGAAGGCCGACAAGTTTGCTGAAACAACGCAAATGATACAGTTACATGAACGGTAATGGTTAGACAATATTGTCCCAAAGTTTATAAAATTTCACTTCCGTATGATCAGTTACAATGTGAATTTTTTCACCACAAAAGTAAAACAAATGAGCTTTAATTTATCTAGGCCTGTTCAATTCTGATCGTTCAGGTTTTTGATCAAAAATTCATTACATGTGATCGAAATCAAAATTGAGTACTAGTTAATAATTTATTTTATTTTATTACTAGAAGAGTAGTACTCCCAAAACTATTACAAAATAAAAGTAAAACAACATTTACATGATGGTAACTAATAGACGTGTATAGAATTTTGAGAATTAATCCCCTACGGGACGTACTAGTTAATAATTAATTAGATGGCAATGTAAATCATTAGGAATCATTTGGTCACGTGATATATTAATAGCATATGAATTATTATCTTGTAATTCGTTATTATTTTTATACTCCTATCATATGAGAATAAACTGGGTATATACAATGTTTAGTATTGTATAATTATTCTATATTTTAATTTATTTTTATATATTTTGTATTAATTTATATTATTAATTAATAAACTAAGCATATAATTATTATTTTACTACTAATTATTAATTATAAAAAGTTGGATGGCAAATTTTTTCCAATAACAGTTAACCTTGATCACCTTATTTTTATATAATAAAATATTTTAAAAGTTTATTAAGACTAGATATATTAAAAAAAAAGTGATCAAAATAATATTTGAGTTATTGATCAGATTATACAATTTCATTAGCCAATAATTATCAACTCAAAATTCAAATAATTAGAATTAAATAGGCTTTTTATATAATCATAAATTAATAAAAAACATCAAGTTTTGCATTTTTTTTAAATTTTAATTGCTAGTCATATATAAACAATAAACTAATTAAAGTCTAATTCTACTTAATAATCAAAAAATAAACATTCAGAATATGTGATTAAAAGGATAATATATATATATTTAGAATATGTGATTTAAAAAATAGTGCGAACCATTTTAAAGTATCAAATTTATTTTTGCAAAGTTATTTAACTTAAAAAACTGAAAAATTTGAAAAAATCACAAAAAAATTAATAATTGCTTAAAATTATTAGGTAATTTTTAGTTATTATTAAATCAAATATAAAAAAAAATCCATATTTTTTCAATTAATTTTTTTTAAAAAATATATTAATATAAATTTGTAATTTAGCGCTATAGCAATATGGCACTACTAGTATAATATTACATGACTTACATATAACCCTGACAAAAAATTCTTACTTAAAAATATTGACATTATAAAATAAAAACCCCTGGAAAATACTTATATAAGTAAGGTTCTAAAAATATTTTTATTAGTAGCTCTAAGCATAGGTTTTTACTATGATCGCTAAGTATGGTTGATATCTAACCTTAAAAATTATATAAAAATAAGCAAATTAATCTTCTAACCAAATTAAATTTTTATTATAACACATATAATTTATAGGGTAAATTTATATCTAGCAACCCTGTAAAATGCTTAAATCTAACCCTTGAGATGCAATTTATATAATTCTCACGTGAAGTAAAAAAATTGCTGAACAACTCCGAACTCCAGAGTAGGCTATTTTTTTTAAAAAAAATAAATTTATTCTTTTAAGACAATTCATATTTTATGAATATTTAACGATTTTTATTAGTTTATAAGTAATCACGTTACATTTATTATTCTAAATTGAAAAAAAAATGCCAAACATATCACATAACGTAAATCTACAACTAAAATCGTTTCCCCTATCCCTTAGGCTTGTTATTTATTACTCGCATTTTTATGAAAAGTGGCATTATGTCCTATTCCATTGCAAACACGACACTTATAAGAGCCTCTAGTTTTGGGCTTTTCTCGAGCACCCTGTTCCTTTTCTACACTACTCAAATACCTTCACTTGGACGGCCAATCTTTAGTAATAACTCTGTTCAGATTTTCATATTTTGAAGGTTTGTATCTATAATTTCTCGGTCTTTTTCAGTTTCATCTTCTTCTATCTGACTCCTATTCTCTATTCTAGAATTAGTATCATTATAGTTCCTTTGAATTTCTTGAGGATTATCAGATACTTCATCAATAGTGGATCTTTCATTAATTATTATTGGAAGTCTTTCAGGCATATTTCGATTGGATTTTCTTCTAATATAATCTAGAAGAATAAGAGTTATTTCATCATCTTCTTGCTCAACTGCAAGTAAAGTGACTGTTCGTGCTAATCCCCATACACGACCATATAAATTTCTTTTATGAACAGCCTTTTTAAGAACAGGAACAGTTATTGGGATCGTGACAGGCTTTCGTACAGGTAATGTATTATTGTTCATAGTTTCATCATCATAAATATCTTTTTTATTGTTAAATATTACTTTTTCTTGCAGGTTTGTCTCATCTTGGTAAAGATTTTTATACCATCTCTGAGGTATCATGCTGATGTGAAATGCTGCGATTTTGAAATTCATCATAACACGAAAATAGTGACGATATATTATTCCCTTTGAGATAGACTTGAGACAAGAACACAGGTAGAATATTGCATTGACAATAATAACGAAATGTACATGATTTTTTCTTTCACTTCGTATATCTACAACTTTCCATATTTCTAATACTTCTTCTTGTCCTATTTCTTCGATCATAGCCTGAAGTGTAATAAAATGTGCGTCAAATTGATCTTCAATAAAACCATCTGATAATTTATGAGGATTTTCCTTTAATAATAGCAAGGTATTATTTAACACTAAAGTATATTGCAACTCAATTATTTAGTAACAACATACCTGCTCACAATTTAATTCTTCGTTATTGAGTTCAATCATATTTGCAGTAACAAATAAATATTGAGATATTTCTGTCTTAATTGTATTATTAATAGGTTCAGTAAGATATTTATCAAGAATTTTTGTTACTATAGGAAACAAATCTTGCTCAGCCATAGAAGAAGTATTTGTTATAATGGCTTGCTTTGTATTTGTAAAACTGATTCCATCGCTCTTCATCTTTTAGCCTTAAATTAAGTCGATCAGCAATCTCATATAAGGTACTATTAGCTTTTAATTGTTGCTTTATAATTCAATTATAACCTTCAACTCTTGCAGTACTTTCAATACCAGCCGTGAAAATTTTATGAAGGTATGCTTGAGCTCATGATCTAGAATTTTGATCTAATATACGTAAAAGATAGTCTTTTGCTATTGGATAATCAATAAGTAATTTGTTCCATTTTTGCTTAAATAGTGGTTTACATAAACTATTGCGGCATTGATAGAACTGTTTGATGAAATCGTCCCATTTCTCACCTAATTTTGCTTTCAAATTTTTAGGTAAATTTTGCGCAATATGAAAAATACAGTAAGCTGGATATGTTTCAGGAAAAATGATTGGAATTGCTGCATCAAGAGCTGGATCAGCATCAGTAAACATAACAATTGGAGCTGTTTCACACTGGTCAAATGATGAAGAATCGGTGTATTAAGAGCCAGTTAAGAATCGGGACCAATCAGGTTTCGGTTCTTAACCGGCTCTTATTTTTTTATCATTAAATAATCAGTATCCCGATAGGCCTATTGATTCTATTATATAAGAAGCCGATAGATTCTAAACGTATATCAAATTTGATCAGCTGATAATAAGTAACAAATTGATTACCTTCCGGATTTCCCGATGACTAATAAATAAACACCCGATCTGTCATGATCTGTCATTAATTTATAAATAAGCATCGGTAAAACATCACATGTCTGATAATAATACTGATAGAACATTGATATTAGACGGTGAGAAATTTAAAGGTTTAATAATAATTATTATATATTTATTTATTTGTATATTTATAATATTCATAATATAAAACATGATTGATATTACAGTATTATTATAAATTTTAAATATGAAACTTTCTATTGATCGGTATTACTGACACATATTTCCGGGTTTCTTTTCGTCCTATTGAAAAAGAACCTTCAACAAACCGACCCAGTATACTATGTACAGGGATAATACAATCCCTGCTAAGATCATAAAATTCTTTTTTCCATAGTTCTATATTGCACAAATTTTCATCGCCATTAATTGTGCAATGAAATCTAGTCTTGTGATTTTCTGCCGGAAGGTACCACTTTACAAATGCTAGGGAATGATTTACAGAACCTTCCGGAAAATGTATAATATGTTCAAAATAAAATTGAACAATACCGGGATAAGTATCTTTAGTATTATCATGGAGAAATTGGGATAATATTTTGGCCGATGTGACGTGCCTTTTAGAATACATTGACCCAAAAACTTCGGATCCAATTTTTAGTCGTCCATAAGTGTTCACTTTTGGTAATACCGGTATAGCAGAAGGAGCAGCATGGATATCTGATAGTGCTGCGAAATCTTTTCCATAGGCATTGCGGTAATATTCAACCAACAAATCTAATACTTCTTTTGAAAGGTTGGTGTCTATCCTTTTAGGATTAAGAAAAGTACCTGGAAAAGGTTCCGAACCTGTTCCGGCCATTTCTTCCACGTTTCTAGACATTGATAAAAATTCCCGGTAATCTATTCCATTAATTTCATCATGAATTACAAGACTGCCGGTAGTTTCTTTCGGTGTAATTAGTGTGATACAAGTCGATAAATGTTGATGGTCTTGGGCGCATGAAGAAAACTGATCAAGAAGAGAGTTGAATTGAATGGTTTTTAATAATTCTGGTTCGATTCTTCTATTACTGCTATGATACGATCCTATAAATATAGACTATTTAATAAATTGATTTAATTATATTGATAAGTTCGGAAATCTGGAATTACCTAATAGACCGTTCATGCGTTCGTAACTGAAACACCAGAACGCGTATAATGGTCCATAGTCTAACGCACAATGGCAAATATGTAAGCATAAATGTAAATTCGGCGTAATTTTTTCTGCGCCGTAATTTTCTTCAATGAGCTTTGCCACTTCTAGAAGATTTTTATGAGCTTCTTCTAACCCATTCGTTGTTATAGATCTGCATACAAGAATATTGCATGCACGGACAAAATTGGCGAGTATCAATTTATCCGATTCTTGAAGCAGATCCCATGTTATGGAAGTGGCATAAATTAAGATAAAAGTCTTCCATTGATCAGCGGTGAACCTTGAAAAGCCTTCACCTGTAGCAATTTTGTAGGGAATTCTACCGATATCTGCTGGAACTTTTATTGCATTTGCCCTTTTTTGCATTGTTTCTAAATCTTTTTGTGTCAATCGGCCCTCCTCGATCCACAGTCTGGTCACGATCCACTTAGCAATACCCAAGAACAAACAATGCATTGGATCCACTGTGAGAAATCGCACTGAATCAAAGTACGGAAGTCGATACATTTCTGACCACCGTACTAAAGTATTATGGACGTGACTATTTCTAGCATCTTTAGTATTGCAATTCAACCATTCTCGCGCATCCCTTCGAACCTGGTTGATATCTCTTTCGACAAACCATTCATCAATATCATCAAATCCGCCAAAATTCGGTTGATTTCGATCATCATATTGAGCCTTTTTTAAGCATCTATGACAAGCCACTCGCGCAGAGATATGACCGCAGAGTTTTCTCGCGGCTGGAATATCACATGAGCAGCATATTACTGCGGCTCGAATAGATTTTCCGGTAGAGCTTTCGTATGTTTTCGATAGTTCAATCCCATTCCATAACTCGATTAATTGATCGATGATGGGAGCTATATAATGGTTTAGTTGATGTAAACTAGGCTCATTTGGCCCCGGAATTAAAGCCATTGTCAAAATATTTGATGGCTTGAATCTTTCATTTCGAGGCAGGTTACATATTACACCATATAGAGCTCCTATACTATAAGTTGAATTATCGAATGGTTGGAACCAGTCGATATTTAACATGATGCCTAAGTGGCGGTCTGAGACATCTTTCCGGAAAAATGGTATATTTTGACGATGATCCTGAAAGGTTTTCCAGATCTTTCCGTCATAAATATCATTCAAAAATTGAGAATCGTTACGGTCCGCCCATTTTCTACATAATTTCTCAAATCCTTTTCGATTATACATTAATTGTAATTGGTGTTTTAAACTAACAGTAGGGAACGTTAAAGAAGGTCGATAGATTGTTCCGTTAGTAACCGGAACTTTCTTAGCAAGTGTAGCATTGCACTTTTTTCTTTGATTTGCCATCGGATGATCCGGAAAATCTACATAGGTACAATGAATTGTGGCTGGAACTTGGTAAGGGTCGTTAGTTGATACTTCTGTTACATTATACAATTTGCAACACTTTTCACACGATGCGAATTTGACAATATGAGCACAGACGCCAAGTTTTTTACGTGCCATATACAAAGATGTAGGAAAAGAATTGTACGTGTTTGCATCCAAAAGAACCAAAAGATATCTAAAAAATTTGACTAAAGAATCGGTAGTGACATCGGATAACTTATATCTCTCTTGATATAATAAGATCCATAAAACAATCCAATGAAAGTCTTCAGTAAAATCAATGAAGGAGGCTTCTGGATCATCACCGTATGTATTTTCCGGTGCGTCAAACCAGCCGGATGAAGATTCATTTGGTATTTCTTCGATAGGATCAAAGTCATTATCAACTTGATCGTTTTCTTCATCATCAGCATCACTAGTATCATCATCTGAAATACTTTGTTCAATAACAACAATAGGGTATGATACATTCTTGGAATTTCCACTACCGATATGTTTTCGTTTATCTTTCGATTTGGCTTTTGATGATTTCGATTTTTTGGGAAGAAACGAATAATTTTCCTCATCAACAATAGGTTCATGATGACCATCATCTGAATTATGTGATTCTATTTCCATTGGATCATTCAAGAGGTCTACCGATGTATCTTGGTTTAGGTCATCAGATGAAACTTGATTTAAATCTATAATTTCTTCAATAACTCCTCTTGGTCTAATATCCCTTTTTAAACTATGACTATTTTTTGTACGTGGATCAACCATGTTACCTTTACATTTATTGCAATGACACGGAACTTTATTTGATGTTTTCTGTTTAAAATTATAGGATTTCTTTACAAAGACAGCTTTTGTTCTTCGGTATTTTCTCGTCATTGTAAATAATAATATAAAAAAATTTTATTAAAAATGAATTTCCGGTTCTTCGATGAACGGATATATTAGTATGATTGATAATTGACATTGTTGACCATATTAGGTTACTATCAATTTATTGTATTTATTGTATTTAAATCAATATAAGTTCCTTTATTTGAATCAAAAAAAAGCTTATACTTCAATAGACTATTTCGTTATTTTCAATAGACTTATCGGCATGAAAAAAAAGGAAAAAAAAAATTCAATCAAAAAAAGCTTATTTAATAGACTATTTCGTTACTTTCGACAGACCTATCGGTCCTCATATGACAAAAAAAAAAATATATATAAAGACCCCTTTCTTCCCACGAACTGATTTTTTTTTTCTCTGCCATATCATTATACTTTGATCTAAATCATTAAAAAAAAAATCGTAATCATTACATTTAATCTAATTATAGGAAAAAAAAAAAAATATTATTAATAATCATAATATTTTAATTGTGGAAATAAATAAAGGTATAAAAGAACGTCTTTTACCTTATTGTATTGTTTTTTTTTTTATCCTTTAACAAATTTTGGTAAAAATGCGTGGAAGAAGACCTTTCAAAATTAAGAAAATAAGCTTAAGACGCTTATCTACAACAAATTTAACCTCTTACAACCATCATCAAACAAACTCAATGTCACCACATCGTCGTCACCGTTATCGTTCAAGAAGGAACAAGTCTAGACGTTCTTCTTATTCTAATTATTCAGATAGTCGTTCACCAAGTCAACAAAGAGGACGTTCGACTACAAGACATAATAGGACTAATTATTCAGATAGTCGTTCACCAAGTCAACAAGGAGGGTGTTCAACTACAAGATATAATAGGAATGATGGTATGGTTATAATATAATAATTATGTTTTTTATTTTACATAT